GAGGCGGGAGTAGTTCTGTGAGGTATTTTTTTTGTTCAACTTAATGCTTCTGTAAATTGGCCAATAGATGGTGTTGTTTTGCCACTATATGAGGTCCATGAGGTAACCACAGGTCAGTGTGTGGTGGTTATCCCATATTAAGACAATGGCGATGGAAAGACCATATTAAGACAATGCTGAGACGCTGCCTCCTCTGTGAAAGACCTGACCTGTGGAGCAACTCTATTTACTCGAGATAAAGAGTTCCAGGCGAAAGGGAACATTATATGTACACAATGTCACAACGAGTTGAGAAATAAGTCCATTACAACCTGTCTTATGTGCAATTTGTATGATACTGAAATAGTGACACCATGCTGAGTTCAATCAATTCAATAGTCTTCTTAGTGGTATTACATATGAGCAAGCAAGACACTGAATGAAATGAATCAATATTAAAGTGAGTAACTAATAGAATACATGCTCGTTAGATATATATATATATCTTTATATTGTTGATATTTATACATTCACTGTTTATGTTTTGTGTTTTTTTAACTCATGTGAAATTCGTTTTGGATCATCTAATCTAGTCCTAGAAATATATTAGCTAATATAATAAAAGAATATAGCCTATGTTTAGGTTATATGTCATAATGTATAATCAGAATGGGTTTTATTATTATAAGTAGGCTTACACATACGAGGTTTATGTGGTGCAGACAGAGACACAGAAAGAAGAATACGTAACAAATGTGTAAAATAAAAATAGGACTGTTATGAAAGCTATTTTAAAAAACTATGTTAAGACTATTATAACAAATTAACAATATTTATGTATGACTACTGTGTTTAAAGCAGAGAGCTGTGCTGATTTAAAAGAGGTATAGGTAGTTCAGCTTATATTTTTGGTACTATTCATTGTACTAATTTTAGTGTGGGACTGAGCAGACGACAGGCAGGTGGATCGGTCAATTTTGTGTTGATTCAAACGTTTGCTTTGGGTCAAAGTCAAGGTCACGAGAGGCGATGGATCCGACAAATAAGGCTAAAAAAGAAGGAGTGGAGTGTGTGTCACACGGTCAGAAAACATGTTATTGGAGTTGAATTCTGGGAAAAGATTTGGGTTTTCGAAACATATAGAATCACTTGGTAACTCCCAAGACAGATAGCTGATTTAGTTTAGTCACTGTTCATCATTATGTCAAATATATGCACTTATCAGGGTTCATACACTTTTTCACCAATGATTTTCAATGACTTTTCCATGACTTTTACCTAATCTTCCATGACCAAAAACATTACTCTCTCAGCGGTACCACTGAAAATGGTTTATTTTAACATGGAACAGGAAAATAAGGTCTGCATATGAAACATGTTGTGCCTATCTAAAGCAAATCCAATAGTAGGCTTACTTAATGGTTTTGCCTTGCATGGCCTTAGATCTACTTCATATAGTAAACAAATCTCTTCTCTCAGGTATTTTTCCACAGGCCCTGAAAACTGCAGTAATTAAACCGCTCTTAAAAAATAATAATCTAGATGCTACAGTAATGAACAATTACAGGCCCATATCAAACCTCCCATTTCTAGGTAAAATCATTGAAAAAGTTGTTTTTCAACAGTTGAGTAATTTCTTGCATTTAAATAGCTGTTTGGATGTGTTCCAGTCAGGCTTTCGTCCAAACCACAGCACTGAGACTGCTCTTGTAAAGGTCTTTAATGACATCCACTTAAACACAGACAGTGGCAGAACTTCAGTGTTAGTATTATTAGATCTCAGTGCTGCGTTTGACACTGTTGACCACAGCATATTACTAGACCGACTGGAAAACTGGGTGGGACTTTCGGCAACAGTTCTAAATTGGTTTGAATCCTACTTAAAGGACAGAAACAACTTTGTTTCTATAGGTAAATACACATCTGAGTTGACAAATATGACATGTGGGGTTCCTCAAGGCTCCATCTTGGGGCCTCTTCTCTTTAACATCTACATGCTACCACTGGCTCAGATAATGAAAAACAACAAAATAAGTTACCATAGCTATGCAGATGACACACAAATTTACGTGACAATTTCACCAGGAGACTATGCTCCAATTCAAACACTGAGTAAATGCATTGAACACATCAATGACTGGATGTGTCAGAACTTTCTCCAATGAAACAAAGATAAAACTGAGGTAATGGTTTTTGGAGCCAAGGCAGAACGTATAAAAGTTAGCGCTGAGCTTCAGCCTGCAATGTTCAAAGCAACAGATAAAGCCAGAAATCTAGGTGTAGTCATGGACTCTGACCTGAGTTTCAACAGTCACATTAAAACAGTTACTAAATCAGCCTACTATCACCTAAAGAATATATCTAGGATTAAAAGACTAATGTCACAGCAGGATTTGGAAAAACTTGTCCATGCTTTTATCTTCAGTAGACTCGACTACTGCAATGGTGTCTTTACAGGTCTCACTAAAAAATCTATTAGGAAGCTGCAGCTGATTCAGAACGCCGCTGCTCGAGTCCTCACTAACACTAAGAAAGTGGATCACATCACTCCTGTTCTGAAGTCTTTACACTGGCTTCCTGTGTGTCAAAGAATAGATTTCAAAATACTGCTGCTGGTTTATAAAGCTTTGAATGGTTTAGGCCCAAAATACATTTCTGACCTCCTGCTAAATTATGAACCATCCAGATCTCTCAGGTCTTCAGGGACTGGTCAGCTTTATGTCCCCAGAGTCAGAACTAAACATGGAGAAGCAGCGTTCAGTTATTATGCTCCAAATATCTGGAACAAACTCCCAGAAACCTGCAGGTCCGCTGCAACTCTGACTACTTTTAAATACAGGCTGAAGACTTTTCTTTTTGTCGCTGCTTTTAATTGAACTATTCATATCTTAGACTGCACTGTAACTTTTATCCATGTATTTTTTCTTTTAATGTTTAATTGAACTATTCATATCTTAGACTGCACTGTAACTTTTATCCATGTACTTTTTCTTTTAATGTTTAATTGAACTATTCATATCTTAGACTGCACTGAAACTTTTATCCATGTATTTTTTCTTTTAATGTTTATTTTATTAGCTTTTCTTTTTAATGACTGATTTGAAATGCCTTTTTCTTAATGTCTTTCATTTTTTGTAAAGCACTTTGAATTGCCTTGTGTTGAAAAGTGCTATATAAATAAACTTGCCTTGCCTTGCCTTGCCTTACCTTGCTAGCTTCTACACGCTAAAGCAACTAAAATCTCTCACCAGCAAAATACCTCGTCAGTTAAAAGCCATTTTACGTTTCATTACTTTACGATACAGTATTTATTATCATTATAGTATTACTATTTCCGTGATTAGATAAAATATAAATTATATTTGATGCAACTTTAGTTACATTTCCATGACTTTTCCAAAACTTTGGGAAAAATATTGTTTTCCATAACTTTCCCAGGGCCTGGAATTAGCTTTTAGAATTTCCATGACTTTTCCAGGTTTTTAATGACCGTAAGAACCCTGGCTATAATACACTCATGTACAACTATACAGAGCAGAAGAGGAAGATGTTCTGCAGATAGTTTGCCCTTAATAACCTCAAGTCTTACTTTACTTTCTGTTATTATGTCACCGCTCCGCCTCTGTCTCTCAGCCGGCCTGTGATCAGGGTTCGGCCTTCACGCTAATCTATATGATTTTCTAATCTCTCGCGGGTGAATTTGACACCACAGCTGAACGTGTTACACAGACCAGTCACACATTGTTATATCATAAATGAGAAAAATCATACTTGAGTTTTTCTGAAACATTTAACCCTCCTGTTGTCTTCGGGTCAAATCTGACCGATTTACTACTTTACATTCGAGTGCATTAAGGCTTCATGATATCCTTCACAGTAGACATTTGAACATATAAATTGCTGATCACCACTTTCATTGAATTTTGGATGATTTAGTCAACTTTGTAACACCCATGGCGTTCCCGGTCGGTCGGGCACACACACACACACACACACACACACACACACACACACACACACACACACACACACACACACACACACACACACACACACACACACACACACACACACACACACACACACACACCACACACACACACACACACACACACACACACACACACACACACACACACACACACACACACACACACACACACACACACACACACACACACACACACACACACACACACAATTTGACACATTATCCGCTCTTATGTGCCCCTCCCCCCACATGGATCACACCTGGCACCCTGGGGGGGGGGGGGGTGTAACGAAGACAATAGGAGGTGATTATGCAATTTGGCATTGGTTCTTTTAATTCAGTAACCAACATATTATAATAACCTACAAAATAAAGAAGTTACATTATACAATATTTTACTGTAAATTATTTTATTTTAGCTTCTGTTACTATATTACATGTATATATTGTTCTAGCTTGCACCCACAGGCTGTATATATAAAGCTTGCACCATTATTTTACTCTTTACACTGTTCTGTATTTAATTTCTGCTTTCATTTTGTCTCTATTTGAGAAGTATATATTTGATTTAATATATTAATTGTACCTGCACCATTGTGTCCCTTGCAACATTGTCCTTTACTTTTATATTTCTAGTTGCAGTAGTTATATTTATTTGTATGTCGCAGTGTTACAGGAGACTGGGACTTACACTGCCAACAACTACGCTATAACTTTTGTGTATATAGGACAAATAAAGCCTTTTAAATCTTAAAGTGTGTACGTGTAGCTAATTCCTGGTATTGCAGAATTGCACACTGACTAAACACCGATTTAAAATAAGCTGAAGTTTAGTCTGCCGTGTCGCAGTGACCCAGTCATGAGTCTCAGCTCCATATCTGCAGAAACTCAGAGGTCAGCCTGATACACTGATAACAAGGAACATCAGGATCCATGCTCCGAATGAATGTTACTGTGCTTTACTTTCTTAAACAGCCTCCGTAAAGAGAGCACCTGTGAAGGATGCATGAAAGTAAACGTCAGACAAGAATCAGGGTGTTTTAGGGACAGTTTAAGTCAGAATATAAATAACACTTGTTAGAAAAGTGTGACATAACAGCAGGGGTGCATTATGCGACTTAAATCATGATAACGGCAGTAGAGATCAGAAGTGGGAAGAAGCACTCACATTTTGAACTGAATTGAAAGTAGCAACACTACATGTTAAAACAGTTACAAGGGAAAGTTAAACATAGTCATACAAAAATGAACACATTTGACTGAAAAGTGGGAATAAAAAGTGTTTCAAAAAAAGAAATACAAATTAAATGAAATCAAATAAAGAGACCACATTTGCATCTTGTGTTGCAGGGAAATAATACACTTAATAATAATAATAATTGTACACCGACTTCTTGTTGTTGTGGTGAAATATTAAAAATAAAAACTGACTTAAAATAAAACAAGATTTAGAAGACCTGCACAACATGTTCATCTCTTGTTGCAGTGACATTTTAAGTCTTATAAACAAACGAATACATTAAAAATACATGAACACGGTCTTCATCTGTTGTTGGGTTAAAACAAATAAAATACATTAAAGAAGTCGTAGAAGCAAAACACTTTCAGGCGCTGGAGGAAATGTCATACTTGGAACTGGAAAAAATATCTTAAGCATGTTTTTGGACACTCGTCTCATCTTGTACTATATTTCCGTCTTGGTCAAAAAACCAACCAAATCCTGCACTCTGATTGGCTGATTCACTCGTGCATTTTGGAAGGAAATCCATTTCACAGTCTTCTTAAAAAAAAGTTTGACAGTGACTTCTGACTGTCTGTACTCAGTGATTTGACTTCAGGCACTTATTTCTTCTTATTTTCAGGATTTCAGTCCAAATCTGGACATCATCTGCTCGTACACGGTCCAGGCCATGGCGGCCATCATGGTCCTCCTCAGGGCTCGAGGTACGGCTCCTCTGAAGAACCCCTGCAGTTTTTGCTCCTGAGAGAGAAGAGAGAGAAGAGAGAGATCCATGATGGTGAATAACATGATAATGGGTAACATGGTTGTTTAAAGAGTCCTCTCCTGCTGATGTTCAGGTGTATATCAGTATGTAGTGTCTCTACTTTAAAGAGTCCTCTCCTGCTGATGTTCAGGTGTATATCAGTATGTAGTGTCTCTACTTTAAAGAGTCCTCTCCTGCTGATGTTCAGGTGTATATCAGTATGTAGTGTCTCTACTTTAAAGAGTCCTCTCCTGCTGATGTTCAGGTGTATATCAGTATGTAGTGTCTCTACTTTAAAGAGTCCTCTCCTGCTGATGTTCAGGTGTATATCAGTATGTAGTGTCTCTACTTTAAAGAGTCCTCTCCTGCTGATGTTCAGGTATATATCAGTATGTAGTGTCTCTACTTTAAAGAGTCCTCTCCTGCTGATGTTCAGGTGTATATCAGTATGTAGTGTCTCTACTTTAAAGAGTCCTCTCCTGCTGATGTTCAGGTGTATATCAGTATGTAGTGTCTCTACTTTAAAGAGTCCTCTCCTGCTGATGTTCAGGTGTATATCAGTATGTAGTGTCTCTACTTTAAAGAGTCCTCTCCTGCTGATGTTCAGGTGTATATTAGTATGTAGTGTCTTTACTGTGACATGTCTCCATGCTTTAATGTTCAAAAAGCTCTTCACGTACAATGTGTTAGAGCTCTAGCCAATAGGAGCATGATTGTTACATAGTGATGTCATTATGTTCAGGAAGTAAACAAAGGAGTCCAATGGAGGCGTTTCGGGTTGATATTAGGTTTTGTGTTCATTTCAATAATAAATAAAGCAGATTAAATGACAGTTACCCTGTAGATGTGTCTGATGGCCTCGGCGGTCCTCAGGTGTGTGTTCACCTGAACCCGAGTCTTAACCACGTCAGCCGGCTGCGTGATCAGAGAGGCTAACACCCCCGAGAGCAGCCCACAGGAGAAGTTATAGAGGGGGGCGGAGGGGGAGGAGCTGATCTCTGAGGGGAGGAGAGAGAGGGGTTTAATACAAAGGAATTCATAATTACAGTAAAAAAACAGAAATACGTTTATCAATTTTTGTTCAACCCAAAAAGGGAAATACAATTTTGTATACACAAAAAAAAGTCAATATATAATAATGTAAAACATAATAATGTATATTGACATAAAAAATAAGTAAAAATGTGCAAAAAATATCAAATAAATAGATGGATAGATATACTTTATTTATCCCAATGTGGGAAATTATTTTGTTACAGAAGCAGTGTTCAACATTAAAATACAAATACTTAAATAGTGGAAAAGAGAATGACAAATTACAAAAAAATATAAAACAAAAAACAACGTATTTTTATAGTAAAAAAGCTATAAAAAATAAATAAATACTTAAACATTAAACATAATAAATCAAATAATAAAAATGTAAAAAACAATATATTAGGATATATTTGGAGAGTTTGCCGACCTGTGGGCAGCGCCGCCTTGGCCTGGCTGTAGAACATGACGTAGATCCCGGAGAAGGGAACGTCTCGGAGCAGCGTCGCCGTGAAGCCGGAGAACAGAGCGGCCGGACCCTCCGTCACACACACACTGCGCAGAGCCCCACACACACTGCTGTACCTGAACTTGCCACACTGAGACACACACACACGGTTAATGGGTAAATGGTGGTAGCTATGATGTACACACTACACAGGAAATAAAACACTACCTTGATTAAAGGTCTCCTATTCTCGGAAAATGCACTTTTTGATGTCTTTTATACATAAACATGTGTCCCCGGTGTGTCGGGGAACTCAGGCAGCATCAGAGAATAAAACCCTCTCTTTTCCTCCGTACCCAAATCTCTAAAAACGGGGCTACAACGGAGCTGATCCAGATTTGCGTCCGATATGACGTAATATCTGAAATGTGGACCCACGGCCCAATCAGAATCGTTGCTATCAGAAACAATGCCGACTGTTTTGGACGTAATATGGTCGGTGTTTACATTAGCATCGCTAACACTCAGAGCTAACCTGTACTGGAGAGCATGTGTGTGAAGAAGCAGGAAATAAAAAGGAACTCACCTTGTGGTATAACCGGCAAGAGAGAAAGCCTTTGAGCTCCATACTGTTTCAGAAATAATCCTTGATGTGTTTTGGAACAGGATTGCGTTTAATCACATTTAATTTTAAAAGCTTTATACCCAGAATCAGCACTTTAATAACAGGGCTGGAATAGAGGGATATAAGGGATGTCTAAAATGCATGATCTGTTTGGTATTTTGAACAAAACCCTTCATCGACATGTTTTTTTGTATATATCTGAGACCTGTAATATATGCCTAAAAAAAGCATGATAGGAGACCTTTAAATCACAGATTCCTCTACGTTTCCCCAACACTCACCTCAAAGCGTGTCTTGATGACGGTGACGGGCAGCATGATGACCCCGGCCACAGCTCGGGCCCCCCCCCCCAGCAGCACCGCCTGCAGGGGCCCCGGAGCTCCGTCCTGGAAGAAGTGCTGCTTCAGAGAGTAGAAGGTGCTGAAGTAGATCCCAACTCCTGGGATGGTGCGGGCGAAAGACTGGAGAGGAGAGAGAGAGAGAATCAGAATCAGGTTTATTACCAGGTAGGTTGACACAGACGAGGAATGGTGTCTGTTGGGAAAATACTGAATGTCCTCTTCCAATATGAGAGTAACATGATAACAAAGGTATCCCAACTGTAGCTGTGAACATGACAGGATGTGTGATTACCTAGAAGAGCATCAGGACTGTTTTAGGCATATGATAGCTATGTGATTAACATGATGATTCAGCCTCTATGGAGAGAGACGTATGACAAGCATGCTCATTTCTGACGTGGAGCTAATCTGAAGTAAACATTGAATACTGCTTTATATTCCTCCATCTTGTGACTGTGTAACTCCCTCTCTTGGATATCAGCATGTGAAGGACACTGTTCAGGAACTAGTTGATGCTCTGTATGTGATGACTTCCATTCTGGAGAGGATCACAAATACATGGATCTTGAGATTGAAGCTCAAGCCGGGGACCAGTGATATCTTTCTAACAGTAGTAGTAGTTGTGGTGTTAGTAGTATAAGTTGGAGTAGTAGTAGTTGTACTAGTAGTAGTTGTATTAGGAGTAGTAGTAGTAGTAGTAGTTGTATTAGGAGTAGTAGTAGTTGTATTAGGAGTAGTAGTAGTAGTTGTTTTGGAAATAATTATCATAAGACGCCAATTAGTAACATACAGGACAAACCTCGATGTCTGTTTACCTTCTTTAAGGACACAGGCGGCTTAGCCAATAATGTTATTGTTCCCATTCTGTGACCGGTCAATACTGGGATACAGATGGTCTGTGTTGTGGGTACACTGGGACACTTCCTTCTCTGTATTTGTGGACTCCAAGGTAAAATCTTCGAGGTCATAGGTGTCCGAGGCAAGTAGCTCAGTGTTCCCACATTGTTTAGGCTATCTTCTCAAATATGTTGTTTACTCTCTGCGAAACCAGTTAGATGGGCTGGCAAGAGAGAGGCTCTCCAGAATTGACGTGGCAACTCTACCGTGAAGTCAGAACCTCTGACTCTTGGACTTGTGATGTGAATCCTCCGGCCGTTAACTCCAAATAAACCATCATGTGTTTGACATCAAAGCTACTGCTCTTCCCGTGTCTCCTTCCTGAGTCGGTGACTCCCACTGCATAGCTACACAGAAGTTTCCTCTACAGTAGTAGTAGTTGTATTAGGAGTAGTAGTAGTTGTATTAGGAGTAGTAGTAGTTGTATTAGTAGTGTTTTGTTTTGGTGCCTTTGTGCATTAATGTAATGCATAGGGTCAATGATGTGGCTGAGGTACTGTGTCAGTGGGGGTCCCGGGTCAGAACAGGGAAAATCTGAATATGTGGACATTTATTCTAAGACTTTTAATAATACAGAGGGGTGGAGGGTTGAAAAAGAAAGATTAGAGATGTACTAACCGGTGAAACTCCTTTCCAAAGTCCCAGCAGCCTCTCTGTTCGCACCACGCTCAGAAACACCGTCATCATCCCCACCCGGCCAGATCTGAGAGAGGAGAGGCAGACGGGATAAATAATGGGACCTAATGAATACCCTCCACATGCTGCATTTGTGATAATAGTCACTATATTTCTCAATTCTGAAAGCAGGTAGAGATCGATATACCGTTTCCCACAATTCCTATATACATATTTGTTTTTATATTCAGGATTGTGGGAAACGGTATATCGATCTCTCTGTCTGTACACAAACTGAAAGATTGACAATAAAGTTGACTTTGAGGTTTTTTTTATCGCCGCTCGCATGTACACAACACCGCACACAGGCCCAAATATTAGGCCTGACCCTACATGATTCTGTAAAATCCCAAACCACGAATACATGTGACTGCGGTTGGAAATCATTAATTAATTAGGAGTCGGGACTGTGAGTCATTACTCACTATTTCCAACATTTTGTCTGTTTGAATCTTCTTATAAAACACATTTCCCATAATGGAGGATTTTGAAAACCCTCTTTTGAAAAAGTCCCTATATTTTAGGTTTTACTTTCAATCTAGCAGTGTGGGGGTCCGGCAGTGTGGGGGTCCAGTGCCTTGCTTTAGGGCACATTGTTAGTGCCCAGGAGGCAAACTAGCAACTTTAAAAATTCACACTTCCCTTTTGTCCGATTGGGGACTTGAACCAGCGACCCTCTGGTTCCCAGGCCCACTGCTGCGTGAGTGTGTCTCTGTGTGTGTGAGTGCCTGTGTGCATGTGTGTGTGTGAGTGAGTGAGTGAGTGTGTGTGTGTGTGTGGTGTGCGTGTGAGTGAGTCTGTCTGTCTGTGTGTCTGTGTCTGTGTGTGTGTCTGAGTGTGTGTCTGAGTGTGTGTGTCTGTCTGTCTGTCTGTCTGTCTGTGTGTCTGAGTGTGTGTCTGAGTGTGTGTCTGAGTGTGTGTCTGAGTGTCTGTCTGTCTGTCTGTCTGTCTGTCAGTGTGTGTGTGTGTGTGTGTGTGTGTGTGTGTGTGTGTGTGTGTGTGTGTGTGTGTGTGTGTGTGTGTGTGTGTGTGTGTGTGTGTGTGTGTGTGTGTGTGTGTGTGTGTGTGTGTGTGTGTGTGTGTGTGTGTGTGTGTGTGTGTTGTGTGTGTGTGTGTGTGTGTGTGTGTTGTGTGTGTGTGTGTGTGTGTGTGTGTGTGTGTGTGTGTGTGTGTGTGTTGTGTGTGTTGTGTGTGTGTGTGTGTGTGTGTGGTGTGTCTGTGTGTCTGTGTGTCTGTCTGTCTGTCTGTCTGTCTGTGTCTGAGTGTGTGTGTGTGTGTCTGTATGTCTGTCTGTCTGTCTGTCTGTCTGTGTCTGTCTGAGTGTGTGTGTGTGTGTGTGTGGTGTGTGTGTGTGTGTGTGTGTGTGTGTGTGTGTGTGTGTGTGTGTGTGTGTGTGTGTGTGTGTGTGTGTGTGTGTGGTGTGTGTGTGTGTGTGACTCACCCTGGCAGCCCCCCCCTCTGCAGAGTCTGCAGTCTGGTCTTCACCAGGTCCAGCGGCTGGAAGAGGATCGTGGAGCAGGTCCCGCTGACGGAGCCACACATGAAGGCTTTGAGGGCCGGGTGAACCTGAGGGGGGGAGGAGACAAGGGGGGGAGACAAGGGGGGAGGAGACAACAGAGACCGTTGAGCAACATGTTAGGATAGATCTGCTGCAGGTGACTGATTAGTATTTCACGTGCATCTGAACACATGATGAACTAATGAAAAGCTCAAAGTCAACTTTATTGACAATACCTCTATTTGTGTTACACAGAGATTCTGTTTCTCACCATCCCAGAGGATCAACATATATGAAAATAAATATATACACATACACACAGAGGTGGGAGAAGTACTCAGATCGTGTACTTGAGTAAAAGTAGAAGTACTCAGATCTGGTACTTGAGTAAAAGTCGAAGTACTCAGATTTTGTACTTGAGTAAAAGTAGAAGTACTCAGATCTTGTACTTGAGTAAAAGTAGAAGTACTCAGATCTTGTACTTGAGTAAAAGTAGAAGTACTCAGATTTTGTACTTGAGTAAAAGCAGAAGTACTCAGATCTTGTACTTGAGTAAAAGCAGAAGTACTCAGATCTTGTACTTGAGTAAAAGTAGAAGTACTCAGATCTTGTACTTGAGTAAAAGCAGAAGTACTCAGATCTTGTACTTGAGTAAAAGTAGAAGTACTCAGAGCTTGTACTTGAGTAAAAGTAGAAGTACTCAGATCTTGTACTTGAGTAAAAGTAGAGTACTAGATAGTACTTGAAAAGCAGAGTACTCAGATCTTGTACTTGAGTAAAGCAGAAGTACTCAGATCTTGTACTTGAGTAAAAGTAGAAGTACTCAGATCTTGTACTTGAGTAAAAGCAGAAGTACTCAGATCTTGTACTTGAGTAAAAGTAGAAGTACTCAGATCGTGTACTTGAGTAAAAGTAGAAGTACTCAGATCGTGTACTTGAGTAAAGTAGAAGTACTCAGATCTTGTACTTGAGTAAAAGTAGAAGTACTCAGATCTTGTACTTGAGTAAAAGTAGAAGTACTCAGATCTTGTACTTGAGTAAAAGTAGAAGTACTCAGATCTTGTACTTGAGTAAAAGTAGAAGTACTCAGATCTTGTACTTGAGTAAAAGTAGAAGTACTCAGATCTTGTACTTGAGTAAAAGTAGAAGTACCAGAGTGTAGGAATACTCCGTTACAGTAAAAGTCCTGCATTCAAAATGTTACTCAAGTAAAAGTAGAAAAGTATTATCATCAAAATATAGGAGGAGACAAGTGGGGAGGAAGTGAAAGAAAGGGGAGAAAGGGAAGGATATAAGATAAGAAAATATAGGACTTTATTCATCCCGAAGGAAATTGTTGTGCCAGAGTTACAAAGATACAATGAACACAGCAGCACAATAATAATAATCAAAGAAAGAGCAATTCAATAACTACAGGAAACACAGACGGTCACATCATTAATGTAAATATTAACAGTATTTAGCAGAGCAAAAAGACAAGATGGACCTGTATTAACACTGTGGAGAAAGTCAGTAGTTCAAACAGCAACAGGGTGAGAATGAAAAACAGCACAGATTAGAGATGAATACAGCAATGCAGTTTGCTTTTCAGCCCAACTGTATACAGTTGTTCTCAGACGCGGAGGGATACTGACTTGTTGTGAAAAGTAACTACAATTCTACCCGTGGTATACGCTCAGTATATCACGGCTAAGAACCAATCAGATTGCTTTATTTGACTTGTCCGTTTTATAAAAATAAACATGCCTTTAAAAACTACAAAAGTGTAAACAAATACCTCCTTCATTACAACTAATATCAGTTACACAAAAGGTGTAAATAACTCACCAGAGAAAGTTCCATAGCTCTTCAGGACGATAACAAAACTAAATCTTCTGTTTTTTCTTCTTGTGTCAATCTGCTCAAACGTTCCCACACCTTAAACACATGTACAATAAAAAGAGGTGTTTCAGTGAGAAGGTCACACAGTGAGCAGCTGATCTGTGACAGGGTCTCTGTTACAGGGGATGAAGGAGCATGAGCTTCTTGTCAGTCAGTCAGACAGGGTTAGGGTTACACACACACACACACACACACACACACACACACACACACACACACACACACACACACACACACACACACACACACACACACACACACACACACACACACACCACACACACACACACACACACACACACACACACACACACACACACACACACACACACACACACACACACACACTCTGATTTGTATTTCACGTGCATCTGAACACATGAGCTTTGAATGACTGCTAATCTACTCAGTAGCCTACTCAACGTATTTGCAAAATTGTCTCCACACAAATTACAACACAGGGTTTGTTTGAGATAAACTCAGAATACAAAAATATTCTATGATTATACTAGACTTTTAAAAAGAGTAATTCTACACAATGAGTACTTTTCCTGAGTACGTTTAGCTGATTATACTTCTTTGTTTTATAGATGTGTAAAACAAACATTTGTAAAAATCAAACGACTTGCAAATAAACAAACAATTTCCAAACCAAAAACTAGAGATGAAAATTGATATATAAGTAAATGAAAGTATTTATGAAGATAGAATAGAATTACCATCCCCAAATCAAAACTTGATTTCCAAATGCTTGCATGAAAGTTGCTATTGTTAGAAAGTTATTAACAGTAATGTTCATTTATTTACTAAAAAATGTTTTGATGTAAATAGTTTTAATTGTTATATTAAAAATGTAAACACGGATGTGGTCGATGTGTTGACATAAACAATATTTTGAAAAACGAATCTCTATTCTACTTTTAATTAAGTAACATTTTGAACTTTGGACTTTCTTTTTACTTTTAACTTCGATTTTCACTCGAGTAAAGGACATGTTTACCATCTCGGTTTGTCTGCATCTTACCTGTTCAAATACTCTGCAAGATTCAGGAGTCTGTTGCAGAGACTGGTGTCACAAGTATGACGCAATTTGGTTAATTAACAGCATAATCCTTCAAAATGTACTAAAAAAGTACAAAATAACACGCTGAATAAAACCCAAAAAGCTTGTTTTGAATGCCTCTTGTGTGATAAAAAGGTCTCAAAGGGTAAAACTAGAGCACAGACCAAATTGAGCTCCACTTTGTCACATGAAAATGAAAAGTGAACTCTGTATTTGGAAACTTAAAAACCAGCCGGTTCCGGATTGTTGATGCTGTGTGCCGTAAGCACCGCCCACCCAGGAGCTGCTGGTTTCTGATTGGCTGAACAGCTTAACGTAATGTCAGTATTAAAAGCGCAGCACTTTATAAAGTATCTTAAATATTAGATATAAAGTGCGGGTCTGTGTACCTTCATTTCAACTGTCTTTCTTTCTTAAACGGGAAAGCGGCTGCCTTGTCTTTTTAGGCTGAGTTTTCTACGTGAAATACTAAAATAGCGAGAGGATGTTTGGCGCGAGGGACGGGACGGTATTCCCTGAAGTAGTTTAAAAAATAAAAGCCCTCTTCTTGTAAACGCATGGATGTATACAGAGAACAAACCACACTTGATGTTGGAATAACGAGAGAGGTCTTAGAGACAGGCTTTAATGCCCTCTCAGAGTATACTGATAAGACTAGCGTTACAGAGGACTCTCATAGGTTTATTCAGAAAGATATTGACGGATCAATTTGTTGTTAACCAGGCCCATTATCGTAGAGTTAAAACGGGGAGAATTCCAGCAAAGTTGAAATGAAAGTACTTCAAAACTCTTCTCTTTTAAGTACAGCGCTTCAGTATAGGTACCGTCCACCACTGACTACATGAGAGAATACCTAATGTCTTCTTTGACTCAAATGTAATAGTTATAGGAACAGAAAAACTACATTTAGTAAGTCATTGTGTTTCATAAAAGAAAGGTGTTTAACAGAAGGCTGAAGATAAAAGTGCAAGTTTAATATGATTAAATATAACAGTTCTCACCTAAATGTCTTCATCCTTGTTTTACTCTAGAGGAGAAACCAGTTCTGACTTGATTGTGTTTTTTATTAAACTCTGACTGCCCTCTGCTGGAGAAAATACATCATGTCATAAACAACCACTTCAGCCTCAAAGGAGACACGCTTTTGACTTAAAACATCATTTTATTTAACGATGAATCACTGGGAATGCAAGTATTGACATAAAAACCAGTGGTGGAAACTAGTGCTGGGCGGTAAACAGTTTCATACCGTGAACTTTGTACCGTATGGTATTACATGTTCATATACCGCAACACCTTTAAAGATGGAGACTGAAGGAAATAAGTTTTATTTGTTTAAATACTTGAATATTGTCCGTGCAGTGTACCTTGGCTTGTAGCAAGGTGTATTAAGTTGCACTAGTTTGAAGGCCAATCATAAAAGTATTATATACAAAATATAAATAACAGGTACATATAATTATAGGTCAAGATATCCAGCAGCAGCATGTCAAATAATTAACATTAGCTCCACCTTTACTAGCTGTGATGAACACATTAATAATTATAATCCAGTCATTTCATACATATGGTTATGAAATGAGCCACTGCTCTTAATGTTATTTTGTACTTTAAATATACTTTTATAATAATGTTGTGCTTTTACTTCGCTATGATTATAAATACAGGGCTTTTCCTACATCAGTATGAAATAATAACAAAGGCACAGCAGGTAGCAGTTTAGAAAGCCTCTTTAATTGCAATAATACCAACATTTCACAACAATGATTCCAGAGGTGCAGAAAGACAGACATTACAAAATAATTGAGCATTTTTTTTTGGATTTCCTTTGCTGTTGTTTTTTTATTTTTTTATTATAAGTGCGATCATTATTTGTATTCTTCTTAATCCGTGATTCCCAACAACAACAACACATTCCTCTCACTTCCCAGCAGTGTGAGCCGAAAGCACAGCCTGCGGAGGGGGGGGGGTAAACATCCCCTAACTTCCGAAATCTACCCGGCAACCGAGCTCCGAGGACACAGTGCGAGTAATAAGACTTCCCCACCACCCCCTTTACCTTCAACATAAACACAACACTGATAGAGAGAAATGTAAAAATCAATGCATGTCCAGAAAAATGAGAAATCCCTACCCAGAATTCAGCTGCTGCATTTAAGGCCTTAGTGTGCGTGTGTGCACTCACTACCATGAGTCTTTTTAAAACTTAACGCAGTGTTTTTTTTAATGTCAAGGCTTTTTTTTTCTCAGTGCAAAAATTAAGAAAATTCAGCACAATCAAAACGCCTTCCGTAATTTTTTAACTTGAAATCTGCCTCTGATTTTTAAGCTTCCGTAAGAAATGTGTGTTACATTTTTAAGCCCATAAGCGTAGTCACGAGTACTAACTGCAGCTAAATCAAGGAGGTAGATTTATCATACTTTACTTCGTGTGAACAGATGTGTAAATGGAGAATTTGTAAAAGTGAAACCTTCCAAAAAATGCTTAAAAATATTTGTTAAGTAGAAAGAAATTGAAAATTGAAATTCAAATATTCTTTATGTATTTATTCCACATTTCAGAATCCATTTTATGTATTTTTTTTTTGTGGATTTTGTTTCTATAGAAGCCGATTAATTTAATATTTTTATACATTTCTTTTAATTTCATTTATTGGGTTTTTACTCATACATTTAGTGTTCACAGAAATAACGTTGATCAAATCTACCGCCACGCTAAGTCGATAGGATACATTCCGCGTATAAACCTTCATTATAATCTGAAGCGAGAGCATAATAAGCACTTCCATTCTTAACCATTATAAAAACTTCTGCATAAAACACATTTTCTATAGATCGAGATATTACTTTGGTCCCCTTCCAGTAGATCGCTCTTCATTAACGTGTACTTCCTTCTTCAATTAGAAAAATAGATCCTGGATCAGGACTACCATCATTGGAATGTTTCCTTACAAAAATATCCTTTTTTTTTTTCCCCCAGAGAACGAAACATGAAGCGAACGAAAACATTTGGCCCAAAAATAACGTGTGTCAGCATGGTGATTGTCCCGAGTTTACCGTGTGTGTTAAGAATGCATAGATTGTCACGGGACTAGGAGGAAATCGGTTTCTCTAGTTTTGTGTTCCTCTCCGTTCAGAAGTGTGTGTGTGTTAGTGTGTGTTTTTGTATTTTATGATGCGGGTGTTTTTAATGATGACTCGGGTTTTTAAGGCTTGGGGGACTCGGGGGTCTCGCTCTTGGTCTCGCTCTCCTCGTCGCTCTCGATGCCGGTGCGAGGCATGGTGCGGCGCACGGTGAACGGGAGTTCGCCACGTCTGGAATGGAGAGAAGAAAAAAAAAAATTAGAATTAAAACTGAAATGCCTCTGCTTTTTATAGCAAAAGGTGGAAGCCGTAGTCCTCCAGCACGATGCAGTGAGAGGTAAAAACATGATACAATGGAGACAATTACAACAAGATTACAGCTGCTAACAAATGCTGGAAGACCATTAATACAGGCGCTACCAGAATCACAATCTAAGCACACGTCTTTATCTACTCTATTCAGTGTTTCCGCCAGACCAGGGCTGAGAGGGCGTCCACCCCGCGAGCGTCTATAAGGGACTTGAGCCGTCCCTTATAGATACTGTCTTTTTACGTTAGTGAGCCGGATCATTTGGCTCGGCTCTCTTAAAGCGCCGGCTGTTTCGGCTCTTCATGTTACCACAGTTTACCACGGAGCCTCAGTTTTGCCGCCGCAAGGCTCCGGCGCTCGCAGTTCAAGCGCGTGCTCCACTAAAACCCCCCCCCCCAGCTCATCGCGTCTAAATCGCCACGTTCCGTGTTGCTGTCCTGTGGCAGGCACCTTCGATGTCGGGGAAACGATCTTCAATACTCCGAAAAGAATCCCACCAGACTCCTTTGCCCCTCCAACAGAGGGATGTCCTTTTTCCTTTTCGTCATTTCAAGCGATAAAAACTCTCGATCTTCTCTCGAATTATTAATATTTGTGGACGCCCTCTGCCCGAGTTCAGGGCGTTCCGAGCTGAATAAGGGCGTCAAATGACGGCAAGACGCCCCCCCTGGCGGAAACGCTGACTCTATTATTTAGTTGTTCTTTTACCCTTTGTTTTATTGGGAATATATGGACACTGGTTATAATTCTGACTTTAATCTCAGAATGTGTGCTTTTATGTCTGGATGTTGGGTTATATACAAGTGGGCATATTTACTTTATATGTGTTTCAATCAGGGACGCGGGAAGTCAGTCAGAGTTTGGGGTGCTAGTGGAGCCTTGCAGCGGCCAAACTCAGGCGCGCTTACACTGCGTGTAGGGAGGGGCGGCCCTGTATAATAACTTCATATTAAATGCAGTCATTTAGCAACAGCTAGTGAGAGCAGTGCATTCATCGGTGTTCGTTTTAATGCTGCCAGTTTGTTGACGGGACTTCTCATGCTCCCTAAATGTTTCCCCTGCCTTTCGCCATTAAACCCTGCTTTCACAAAACTCCCATCCCTGATCTTGTCTGCACTGACGAGCTTCTTTTCTATAGCAGAGCAACAGAAGAAGCACACTGCATTATCACTTTCTCTTATAGTGAAGTTTTTTATAGGCTGCTTACACTAAAATGCTAACTCAAAATAAAACTTTTGTATTGATTTGTTTAGTGAACTTTTTGGTGTTGCAGTTACAACTCTCCGCCAACAGATGGGGGTGCTGCAGCCCCCTCAGCACCCCCCCCTTCCCACGTCCCTGGTTGCAATCGTCAATTGTGCATATATATATATATATATATATATATATATATATTTATTTAAATCCTGCTCATGTGCTCTTGTACGTTTTCTTTTAATGCCATCAACCTGCCAGGGACTGCAGATGAAAATGAGTCTCCATCTCTAAATCTGGCACATGTACATGCTGGACTCAAGGGCTCGTGTTGATTAATGTGCAGTGTGCCTTTAAAATAAATAAATACAAATGTTCGGGTGTTGTTTCTCACCTGAGTTTGTTCTTCAGGGTGGAGACCTCTCGGGTCATGGAGTCCGTTGACTCCGTGGCGTCCTCCAGCTCTCGTTGCAGTTTCCTCCGGTTGGCGTTGGCCCTCTGAGCCTCCTCCTCCGCCTCCTCCAGCTGGCGCTTCAGCTGCTTCATGCGGGAGTTCAGCTTGTCCACCTGCAGAGAGACACAGTAAAGTAATAATTAATTTTTAAGACGTTAAAACATTGAAACAAAACTGTCACCAGAGGCAATACATGACCTAAATATGTTCACAGCAATTAGTCCAGTACTAAAACGGGCTCACAACAAATATGTGTCGATTCCAGTCTAGCACAAGAGGCTAGCAGAAACATGTATACAACAAATGTAGGGTCTATCTACATTCTATATATATGATTTAAGCAGGGGTGTCAAACTCAAATACACAGTGGGCCAAAATAAAAAAATGGGTACTAGTGGAGGGCCGGACTGGTTCAATGTTTATTGCAGAACTTATTGAAATGAACTTATTGCACATATTAAACCTGGAACTAACAAAGCTTAAATGATTGCCAATAAAAACAACATTAAATAAATCAGTTGCATTCATTTCTTATGGCTCTATCTGCAGCTTTTCCAGAGTCATTTCTTATGATTACATTTTTCCACAGGCCAACAACAGCTTCAACAAAACTATTTCCCTCAAAGAACAAACCAAACATGCCCTGTTGTCCTGAGAGAGAAAGTGCAGAAGGAAACATCCATGTAAACTCAGTGTGCTGCTCTGTGATGCTAGTTCAGATACTTGGCATCTCATCTTGGGTGCAAGGTCATCAATGTTTGGGCTCAGGCTCTGAGCTGAGGAGACCCTCAGGATGGAGTGAAGGTGTGCGTGCAATATACCGGCGGGCCAGATCTAATAGGAATTAGAAATGATCCTGCGGGCCGAAATTAAATCCACCAAGGGCCTGATTTGGCCCCCGGGCCTTGAGTTTGACATATGTGATCTAAATGATTATATGATGGAGCTCTGACCTGGTCCTTGTACTGCTCCGTGTTGCGTCTCTCGTCGTCCACCGTCAGGATCACCTCCTTCAGTTTCTTCTCGGTGCGTCTCACCAGCTTAGTGGCTCCCTGTCGCTCTCTGAGGGCAGAAACACAACGTCACACCCTGGAGAGAAACACTGCGATATCAAAAACCCTGTACGAACACTGCTGTTTCAGTGTGAGACTTTGAGATGATGCTTCCCATTAGTATTCAGGAAACATCTTGTTGGGAAAACACTGAATGTTCTCTTCCAATCTGAGAGTAACATGATAACAAAGGTATCCCAACTGTAGCTGAGAACATGACAGGATGTGTGATTACCTAGAAGAGCATCAGGGCTGTTTTAGGCATATGATAGCTATGTGATTAACATGATGATTCAGCCTCTATGGAGAGAGACGTATGACAAGCATGCTCATTTCTGACGTGGAGCTAATCTGAAGTAAACATTGAATACTGCTTTCTATTCCTCCATCTTGTGACTGTGTAACTCCCTCTCTTGGATATCAGCATGTGAAGGACACTGCTCAGGAACTAGTTGATGCTCTGTATGTGATGACTTCCATTCTGGAGAGGATCACAAATACATGGATCCTGTTTTGAAGCTCAAGCCGCAACATCTCCTCTATTATTAGTGTGTATATAAAGCAGATGAAATGGTGTGACTGTTACCTGGTCTCCATGTCCAGCTGCTCCTCCAGCTGCACCACCTTGGCCTCCAGGGCGGCCATGTTGGCTTTGTACTTGGACTTGACGGTCCCCTCGAGCTCCTGCAGCTTCAGCTTCAGCTCCTTGTTCTGACGCTCCAGCTGACAGCGAGCACCCTCCACCCGCTGACAGGTGCTGCGCTCAGACGCCAGCTCCACGTTCATCTGGTCCGACTGGAAACAGAGGAAACACGGGAACACGAGTCAGACAGGGACACCTCACTGAATAATACAGAGAAGGAGCTGAAACTGTTATCACTTTGGGGGAATTCAATTTGTGTGAGAGTGAGTGAGAGTGTGAGAGAGAGTGCGAGAGAGCGAGTGAGAGCGCATGTGAGTGTGTGAGAGAGTGCGTGATATAATGCATCTTGTGTTTGTCCACAGACCTGCAGCACGGCCTTCTTCAGCCGGTCGTTGGTCAGCTCAATGTTGCACTGCTCCTCCTCAAGCTCCTCCTCCAGCTGAGCGATACGAGCCTCAAGGCGCCGCCTCTCCTCCACCACCTGAGCACTGAGGGGAGAGAAGCTCGTCAGTCAAAGGTGTTGCACAAGAAAGGTGGACACATTCAATAAAAAGACAAGTGACTTTGTTGCACCGCTCGTTTTACCGAGGTCTCACTCTTTGTTTCATATATTTCTTCCTACATTTCCCGAGTCTAAAGTGGATTACACTTTCTACACAAATACCTGTACTTTCTACTTCTTACATGTTGAACTCAAATACCTGTACTTTCTACTTCTTACATGTTGAACCCAAATACCTGTACTTTCTACTTCTCACATGTTGAACCCAAATACCTGTACTTTCTACTTCTTACATGTTGAACTCAAATACCTGTACTTTCTACTTCTTACATGTTGAACCCAAATACCTGTACTTTCTACTTCTTACATGTTGAACTCAAATACCTGTACTTTCTACTTCTTACATGTTGAACACAAATACCTGTACTTTCTACTTCTTACATGTTGAACACAAATACCTGTACTTTCTACTTCTTACATGTTGAACACAAGTACCTGTACTTTCTACTTCTTACATGTTGAACTCAAATACCTGTACTTTCTACTTCTCACATGTTGAACACAAATACCTGTACTTTCTACTTCTTACATGTTGAACTCAAATACCTGTACTTTCTACTTCTTACATGTTGAACTCAAATACCTGTACTTTCAACTTCTTACATGTTGAACTCAAATACCTGTACTTTCTACTTCTCACATGTTGAACACAAATACTTGTACTTTCTACTTCTCACATGTTGAACTCAAATACCTGTACTTTCTACTTCTCACATGTTGAACTCAAATACTTGTACTTTCTACTTCTTACATGTTGAACACAAATACCTGTACTTTCTACTTCTTACATGTTGAACTCAAATACCTGTACTTTCTACTTCTTACATGTTGAACCCAAATACCTGTACTTTCTACTTCTCACATGTTGAACTCAAATACCTGTACTTTCTACTTCTTACATGTTGAACCCAAATACCTGTACTTTCTACTTCTCACATGTTGAACTCAAATACTTGTACTTTCTACTTCTTACATGTTGAACACAAATACCTGTACTTTCTACTTCTTACATGTTGAACTCAAATACCTGTACTTTCTACTTCTTACATGTTGAACCCAAATACCTGTACTTTCTACTTCTTACATGTTGAACTCAAATACTTGTACTTTCTACTTCTTACATGTTGAACACAAATACCTGTACTTTCTACTTCTTACATGTTGAACACAAATACCTGTACTTTCTACTTCTTACATGTTGAACTCAAATACCTGTACTTTCTACTTCTCACATGTTGAACACAAATACCTGTACTTTCTACTTCTTACATGTTGAACACAAATACCTGTACTTTCTACTTCTTACATGTTGAACACAAATACCTGTACTTTCTACTTCTCTCATTTCCCAAACAGCTGGTTCCTTTAGTTTGAATGTGTGTTTGATGCGTGATCATTATTATTTAGAGTCATTGCGTGCCTATTGATTTGAACACGATCCGTGTATCCATCATTTCCTGGTCTTCTCTAAAGAAGAGGGACCAATGGAAACGTTGTCATGTTGCCGTTGTTCAGCATGGAAACATTCATTAGCTAACAATGACATTATTGTTCTATTAATATAAAGGGAGGTCAGGTACTCTTTAAAACAGCTGCTAGCTATGGGTACTTTTTACTGAAGTACATTTCAAAGCCTCTTTACTTTTACTTGAGAAGTTTAGTCAGTACTTCTACTTTCACCAGAGTAATTTTAAACACGAGTATCTGTACTTCTACTTGAGTAAAGGATGCGTGCACTTTTGCCATCTCTGGTGTGTGCGTGGTGTGTGTGGTAGAGGTCTTACTTCTTGGTGGCCTGGCTGTTGATCTCGTCCTGCAGCTCGTCTCTCTCCTGCTGCGCCTGCCTCTTCACTCTCTCTGCAGCCGCCAGCTCCTGAAGGGGAGGAAGGAGACGAGAAACAACGTTCAGTTTGCATCAAAGAAGACAGGGAGGAGGATGGGTGAGGCGTAGGCACACTGACCTCCTGCATCTGCAGCATCTCGGCCTCCATGCCTTTCAGCTTCTTCTCCGTCTCTTTGCTCAGAGCCAGGATCTCCTCTCGGGACATGCGAGTGTCCTCCAGCTCCCGGATCAGATCCTTCATCTGGGCCTGAGGACACAAGAGGAGTTCAACTGAGAGTCGCCATTACGTTAGTCATTTGCACTATTTTTTTTAAATTGTATTATATACGTTGTTGGAGGAGTTCGGGTCAGAAGACTTCCATTGCCTTTTCTACCCTGTAGCTTTGTGCAGATGACATTGAAACCATTGAATCTAAATACTATGAATATGTTTCTAAGACTAACTGAAGTACCATTTCACTGTTGTCTAAATAACGTATGTACCGTTCAAAATGATTACAGTAACACATATCTGTTATATGTTTTGAGTGTCATTGTAACCATCACACTGCTGTGATTCATAGTTCCTTTTAGCTGAGACTAGCGGCTCACCTGCAGTTTCTTCAGCTGCTTCAGGGCTTCGTCTCGGTTCTTGTTGGCCATGTCGATGCCGGCCTCCAGCTCCTTCAGGTCCAGCTCCAGCTTCTTCCTGGAGGCCACGGCTGCAGAGCGCTGCTTCCTCTCGTCCTCCAGCTCCATCTCCATCTCACGCACCTGAAGGAGGGACGGAGGTCAGCCATTCGCAACGAACAAGAAACTGTGACGTGCACTTTGAAGATTAAGATTAAATGGAGTTTATTGTCAATCTTTCAGTTTGTGTGTACAGACGGAGAGATGGAAATACCATTTCCCACAATCCCGGATATAAAAATACGTAAAAATATGTATATACCTAGTTTTAATTATAAGTATATTCGTTCCTCTCTCCTTGTCGTTATGTGCATGTGTTACTTATGTTTGTTGTAAAGAAATATAATAGTTTCAATAATTCCTATTAAAAAAAGGCACTGGTGGCCATAAAAATACTAAACTTTATAAATAACAAAAATATAAAAACATATAAATATATATATAAAAAAAGAAGTCTCAAATAAAAAAATAAATAAAACTCAATAAAAAATAAAGTTATTAAATACTAAATAAATTATATATATATTTTTAAGTCTACAGTAAATATATATATATAAAAATATATATTTACATGTATTAAAAAATAAGTCTATAAAATAAAAAAAATAATTATATTTTTTAAGTCTACAGTATATATATATATATATATATATCTATGTAAAAAAAAAATATATATCTTTTTATACACACATTTATTAAATAATAAGTCTATATATGTATATATATAGACATATATAGATATATATATCTCTACATTTAGCGTCAGCTAAATGCAATGTAATGTAATGTAATGTAATATAAAATAAAAATTCAATAAAAACATTTAAAAAAACAATGAAACTCTATAAAATAAATAATAATATATCTTTCACATGTTTTTATCCTATAACCGACCTGTTTGACGAGCGCTCTCTTCTTCTCCTCGCCCATCTCGTCCTTCCCGGACAGGTCCCTCTCGTACTGAGCCTTCATGGCCTGCATGTTGACTTCCAGGCGCAGCTTCGCGTCCTCGGTTCCCTGCAGCTCGTCCTCCAGCTCCTCCAGCTGCGTCCTCATCTCCTCCAGCTGCTGGTCCATCGCACGCTTCGCCTTCTCCAGCTCGTGCACCTGAGGAAGAGGAGGAATCAGAAACAGGTTGATTACCAGGTAGGTTAACACATACGAGGAATTGACTTGGTGTCGTGGTGCAAAGATTAAAAACACAGATGGAAAACTATTTGAAGAAAACGATCAAAGTCAACTTTATTGTCAATCTTTCAATGTGGGTACAGATGGAGAGATCGAAAGACCCTTTCCCACAATCCAGAAACAAATATATATATATATAAAAATAACGGCTATCCAGGGTTCATACACTTTTTCACCAATGATTTTCCATGACTTCTCCATGACCTTTACCTAATTTTCCATGACCAAAAACATTACTCTCAGCGGTACCACTGAAAATGGTTTATTTTAACATGGAACAGGAAAATAAGGTCTGCATCTGAAACATGTTGTGCCTATCTAAAACAAATCAAACAGGCTTACTAGCTTCTACACGCTAAAGCAACTAAAATCTCCCACCAGCAAAATACCTCGACAGTTAAAATCCATTTTACGTTTCATTACTTTACAGTATTTATTATCATTATAGTATTACTATTTCGGTGATTAGATCAAATATAAATTGTGAGGGAATATTTCTGTCTTTACTCCTAGATATTTAACCTTTTCTGTGTGTTGACGTTTACGACCAACCCTGGCTCTGTTATCTCTCTTAAGGAATGGGAGTCTCCAGCTATCTTGATAAACCAGTTCAACTCTCGGTCACGAAATGGTTTACGGCTGTGGGAACACTGGCTTCGAGGCCATTAAGGGTCAGACTCAAGTGATTCAGGGTGCCCAGCTGTTTAGTCTATCTCCCCAAATATGTTGTTTACTCTCTCTGAACTAGTTAAAAGGTCTATCGAGAGAGAAGCGCGGCAGAATTGATGTGGCAACCCACCCGGGAAGTCAGAACCTCTGGCTGCTCTGTGACTTGTGAATTTCTCCGGCCGTATACTTGTAATAATATCAGTGTTTGACATCAAAGCTCCAACTCCCCTCGTGTCTCTCCGAGTCCTGACTCTCCATTGCTGCAGAAGTTTCACTTACATCAATTATATTTGATGCAACTTTAGTTACATTTCCATGACTTTTCCAAAAACGTTGGGAAAAATATTGTTTTCCATAACTTTTCCAGGGCCTGGAATTAGCATTTTGAATTTCCATGACTTTTCCAGGTTTTGAATGACTGTAAGAACCCTGGCTATAATAACATTAAAAAAAATATATAGTAAAAAATAGCAGTTTGTGATGAAGTTTGAACGGACCACACAACAGGAATAAAGATTTTCCTTTTTCCATAAATCCGTTTTGAAGACTTCACTTGAATCCATTAAGTTTGACATCATATTCCAATTGTATATAGACTCTCCTCGCATTTTTTCTATTCTATTTACTTGCACTATTTTATCTGTCTTATTGTGTTGCTCTGTGGGAGGAGCCTGTGAGCTCAGATGTTCATATCTACACTGTAGCTCTGCACACATGACGATAAAAGCCTTGAATCTTGACACTTACACTCTTGCCGACGTCGTCCTTGGAGGAGACGAGGTCCTCCATCTCGGCGCGCAGCAGCTTGTTGTTGCGGTCCGTTTCCTCCTTGACGTCCATCAGAGTGTCCAGCTCTCGGGTCAGAGCCAGAGCTCGGGTCTCCTTCTCTCGGGCCTCGGCTTCAGCTTTGTCTCGCTCCTCTGCGTAACGAGCAGAGATGTTCTTCTCCTCAGCCAGCATCTACAGGAAGTCAAGAGGACACAGTCAGAGCTCATTCTAAAATGTCTAACATACCTTTTTGGACTTCGTAAAACCTCACAGGCCAGATTTGATTTTTACAAACGTATGATTTTACTGTGAAGTCCTGATCACTCCATAATGCTCGTACTTTTTACTGTTTTTATTTAAGGCAGTTCGGACAGACAAACTTAAGATGTACCATTACTATATCTTGAAAAAATACCGTGTAATTGTTTGCTGCCAAATGTCAATACAAAATATATTACAAAACAACATGCCTTTTTGTATGCCTTTAACACGGCATACAGGAAGTAAAGAGGACGGAGGCGGAGCTTATTCTAAAATGCCTTTTTGTATGCCTTTAACATGGCATACAGGAAGTAAAGAGGACGGAGGCGGAGCTTATTCTAAAATGTCTAAAATGCCTTTTTGTATGCCCTTAACACGAGAGCAGTTTTGCTTTTTACATGAAATGGTCGGCCTAACCCTAAATCTAACCAGAAAGGCAAATCTTTAATCGAAAATATGAACTTGATTTCATGCCTTTTTTAATGCCCAAAATACGAAAGCAGTTTTGTTTCTTTACATTAAATTATCAAAATGTAACCGGAAAGGCAAATCGTACATTTGTTATCAAAAATAAGCCAATTAAAAAAGTATAATGGAATATGGCCCACAATTGAGCCTTGTGCTGGTTTTATATTGTACTTCTTAAATATACATGTACAAATATATTACACAGTATTCATGTGTTAACCTGTTAAGCCCCGAGCCTGTTTTTCAGGTCTCGGGCTCGAAAATGACATTCCCAGAACAAACGACTATATCTTCCACTTCTAAAAGGGTTAAATTAATAATCTTTTTTCTCAAAGCCATGATAAACCTGTGAGTTGGATGTAGAAGAGTCAGAATCAATATAGAACTTTTGTATTTTAAAGTAAATTCAGATTGAACATGAACAAAGAAATGTAATTATTTTGTCCGTCCAAAAAAAAAAAAAATGCTTATACTTCTGGAATCTGTGGAATCTCAACTTGCTAATCGATATCTTGTTTGTGCAGATCCGATAAGTGATAAGGGTATTTTACCGTGAGTTCTGTGCTAAGTGCGTTAGCATTTTTTCGCTCAGGGCTAATTCAGAGCCTTTGTTATTACCCTTGTGTTTCGTCTAGCTAACAATTGTTAATTTTGTCTGAAAGCTGAGTTTCTTCCCGTTAAGTGGGTATGACACATTCATAGTTTGTTAAATGTTAAGAAGCCCTCAGACGCTGTTTCTTGCAAGATGTTGCCCCATGCCCCACATCTTGCAAGAAACAGCTGGTTAAGGCAGTAAACCTGAGCGGCACAGCCCTTCGTATATTTTTCTGAATTTGGCCCTCTGAGAAAAAAGTTTGGACCCCCCTGGTTTACTATAAGTGTATCAAATGTTCCGTCTTCGTACCTGGTCAAACTTCTTCTGCTTCTTCTCCAGGTTGGAGACGATCTGCCGCAGGTGGTCCTGGTCCACCAGCAGGTCGTCGAGCTCCTGCTGAACGCGAGTCTTGGTTTTGTCGAGCTTCTCGAAGGCGGCGCACTTCTCCTCCATGCGCTGGTTGGAAGCCTCCAGGTCTCTCTGGTATCTCTTCTTCGCCTCCTCCGCCGTCTCCAGAGACCCAGCGTCCGTCTCCACCCTCTTCTTCATCTCCAGGAGCTGCAAGGAGAGAGGAGGAGGAGTCAAGAAGAGAGATGGAGGAGTCAAGGAGAGAGGAGTCAAGGAGAGAGGAGTCAAGGAGAGAGGTGGAGGAGTCAAGGAGAGAGGTGGAGGAGTCAAGGAGAGAGGTGGAGGAGTCAAGGAGAGAGGTGGAGGAGTCAAGGAGAGAGGAGGAGGAGTCAAGGAGAGAGGAGGCGGAGTCAAGGAGAGAGGAGGAGGAGTCAAGGAGAGAGGTGGAAGAGTCAATGAGAGAGGAGGAGGAGTCAATGAGAGAGGAGGAGGAGTCAATGAGAGAGGAGGAGGAGTCAACGAGAGATGAGGAGGAGTCAACGAGAGAGGAGGAGGAGTCAAGGAGAGAGGAGTCAAGGAGAGAGGAGTCAAGGAGAGAGGAGTCAAGGAGAGAGGAGGAGGTCTCTTCTCACCTGAGCCTGGACGGTCATCAGCTGCTTCTCCACGTTCCTCTTGGCCTCCTCCTCCTCCTCCAGCTGCTCCTTCAGGTTGTTCTGCTCGTCCTCCAGCTGACGCAGCCGGGTGCTGTTAGACAGTTTCTGACGCGTCTCCTCCGTGAGAAGCTCCTGTTGGAAACAAGGGCATGGGAAGAGGAATTATATGAAGCAGCAGTAGAGATTTTCATATCTAAAAATGCATGAATCCCCGGACACGTCTTAAGAAGGGAAGGATTTAACTCCCAAACACTCAAACGTCTTGTTATGTTAAGGCCTGGACACACCAAGCCGATTTTGGCCGTCAGTCCGACGATGAGCGTCGACACTAGGGTTGCCAGAAACTGACCATGATCAAAATCGATTATTCGGCAGCCTTGGCGAATAATAATCGATTATTCGACCGACCAACATCAACATGATGTTGGTTTATTTTTTGTTATTTTCTAAAGTGCCTGCCATTGCCTTTATTTGGAGATGCGCTATGCGCGCACAATGTATTTATTGCAATGCTGCCATTATTAAATACAGGATACAGCTTGTATTAATAATAGCAGCATTGCAATAAATATTATAGCAATGCTATTATTAATAATACAGGCTGTAGCCTGTTTTTTTTAACTTAAAGATATCAGCTAGAAATCTCTACAGTTAATTATTTACATTAAGACAATTGTTTTTTGTATTACAAGTTTTCTGAAATAGCATGTTTGAATATGCAAATGAGCCATCATCTCATTAAATATGCCCCTATTTTAATACATTTCAGGAACACAATTCGGAACTTTGGATAAAGCCAGGTTCAAAATTCTTGTTTCATTTTGTAGTCATATTAGAATCTAAAGTTTTTACAGAAGGGATTTGGATATCTCTTTGTATCACTAAATCAGAAAATACTGTCAACATCCCTAAAATATCCATTTGCTATGTTTTTAGGTATAAAATGTTGTATAATTCAGGCTATGAATGATATATGAACAAACCCTTCTGTAAAAGCCTTCATAATATTGATAGGAATATAACTGGAAGGTTTGGTGTATGTACGTGCTACTGAAGTTGAAATTTTGAACTCAGAGTAGGAGAAAAAACTCATTTTGAGAAAACGACCTTTAAAGATTGCAGTGAGGCGCTAGCTAAACCCTCCTGTTCTTTGAATGACAGCTTGCGCCTCGACGCACTCCGTGAAGGTATTTCATGTTCGGGGTCATTTGTTTTTTGTATAACCTTGCTTCGTGCAAGTGACAATTGTTGTCGTCTTCTCTGTGAACGTTTTTTTCGCTGTTCTTTTGCCATTTTGAGATTTAAATTTCTAGCGGAAAGCTAACCAGGAAGTGTTTTAGCACACCACGTGACGCATCTGAACGAATCACGTTGTCAGAAATTGACACCAGCCAATGAGATTTCGTTTCTTGGTTTAAGACCCCTTTGTGCTTTCACGATTGGTTGCTGATACAAAGGAAATGACCATATTTGGATCCGATGAGACTGTGCAGGAGAGACGGAGCTTTCCAGCGATACCTCTGTTGACATGGTGCACACAGCGGTCACGGTACTTTATGTTACGTTAGAATGCTAACTTTTGGTGAATTTAGGAGAAATCTACAGACGCAAATAGACAAACTATAGTAAAATAAACATCTAAATTTGTATTTTATACATTTTCCTTCCAAAAGCCTGAAATAAAACATGTTATGGAATCAAAATGGCACAAAATCTCAAAATTGACCAGTGCATGAAAAACGATGTTTTTGCCTGCCGTGTCTCGCCTTAAGAGACTAAGATAGAAGTTTGTATTTGGAATGAAACAGGCCGATGTATAAATACACAAAGAATAAATTGTGTTTTTATCTACGGTCATTTTGTTAAAAGCATCTGAAGGAAAGGAACGTTTGATTTATCTTAAGACCACGGTAGCCTCGTCACCCAACGGCTAGAGTATAAGCATTGTGTGTATGTATGTATGCGTGTGTGTGTGTGTGTGTGTGTGTACGTACCTGAATGTCCTGCAGCTGGGACTCCACAAGAGAGCAGTCTTTGGTGGCCTTGATGGACTTCCCCTCCACATCGCCCAGCAGCATGCTCACACTCTCCAGTTCAATCTGGAGACACAGGACAGAAAATAATTAACCCTGACCCCAGAAGTACTGAGATGGTAGCGAAGTCCATAGGGGACTTGGCTTGGCAACTGGAAGGTCACCAGTTCAAGTCCCGGCAAGACCAAGTGCTACCGAGGTGTCCCTGAGCAAGGCACCGTTCCCCACACTGCTCCCCGGGCGCCGTTCAAAATGGCAGCACACTGCTCCTAACTCAGGATGGGTCAAATGCAGAGAAACAATTTCCCCACGAGGGATTAATAAAAGTCCATATTTTTTTTCTAGATTCACTTCCTGTTTAAGACTCATATCATCGTATCGAAGGTGTTAACATTCATCGGTTTGCAACTTACAAATTATTTATCTAATATATCATATTCCATTTACTTGTATATAGACTCTTCTTGCACTATTTCTATTTTATTTGTATTTACTTTCACTATTTGATCCGCTTTATTTGATATATATATATATATATATATATATAGATAGATATAGTCACAGGCTCTTCCACATATTGCACTGTTGGAAGAGCCTGTGACTTCAGTTTTTTTTCCCAACAGCTACAGTGTAGGAATGGCAATGAAAAACTGAATGTCCTCTTCCAATATGAGTAACATGATAACAAAGGTATCCCAACTGTAGCTGTGAACATGACAGGATGTGTGATTACCTAGAAGAGCATCAGGACTGTTTGAGGCATATGATAGCTATGTGATTAACATGATGATTCAGCCTCTATGGAGAGAGACATATGACAAGCATGCTCATTTCTGACGTGGAGCTAATCTGAACTAAACATTGAATACTGCTTTCTATTCCTCCATCTTATGACTGTGTAACTCCCTCTCTTGGATATCAGCATGTGAAGGACACTGCTCAGGAACTAGTTGATGCTCTGTATGTGATGACTTCCATTCTGGAGAGGATCACAGATACATGGATCCTGAGATTGAAGCTCAAGCCGGGGACCAGTGAGATGTTTCTAACAGTAGTAGTAGTTGTTGTATTAGGAGTAGTAGTAGTAGTAGTAGTATTAGTAGTGGTAGTAGTATTAGGAGTAGTTGTAGTAGTATTAGGAGGAGTAGTGGTAGTGGTAGTAGTAGTAGTAGTGCTCTGTGTGTGATGGCTACTTCCATTACATACATGGATCCTGACATTGAAGCTCAAGCCGGGGACCAGGGAGATGTTTCTAACACTAATGCACAAATGAAAACAAAGCGTTGAATCTTGAATCTTTGTACCTGAGCTTTGGCCAGCTTCTCGGCCTGCTCCAGCCTCTGCCTCTCGCTCTCGGAGAACTTGAGCTGCAGCTCCTGGACCGATCCCTCGGCCTTCTTCCTGCGGTGCTCAGAGTCGCCCTTCCCCTGCATCAGAGTCTGGGTCTCGATGGCCAGCTCGTTCCTCTCCGACTCCAGGGCCTGCTTCGCCTTCTCCATCGACACTTTGTTCTGCGGGGGACAGGGAGGAGTGGTTTATTCTTTTGTAATCGGTTAACCTTTACTAGAATGATGGCATTTTTACTACTATTATCTTTTTATTTGTATTTCTGTTGTACCTATATGTTCACTTTGTTTTATGGGGTTTTATATTGTTGCATATATTAAATGAATACCATCAAATGCCAGCTCTAACTGAAGGCTTTGTTAAAAATGTAGGTCTTCAACTCACTCTTAAAGGTTTGGACACTCTCTGCCGCTCTGATTCAAGGAGAGATAAAAGGTAATTGAATAAAGTGTTTTGAACGTTTCTTACCCTCTTAGATTGCTCCAGCTGCTCGTTGAGCTCGTCGAAGGCCTGGCTGTGCTTCTGCCTCACCTCCGCCAGCTGCTGCTCGTGGACTTTGGCGTCATCGTCCAGAGTCCTTTTCAGATGAGTCACCTCGGTCTCACGCTTCGACCTGAGAGGGGAAACGGGGGTTCATCTCAAGAAGTACAACAGGCTCATAAGTGCCCATTGAGTTAGAGCAGGTAGAGACAGCGGGGCACTTTCTCTACTCGGGGTCTGGCTTTCTATTTTTTGTTTCTTCAAAGGGCTGCTAATAAATTCATAAAATGTAATACGACTTAATAACTCAAACTTTGTATGAAATGACCATATCATATGTGACCCGCTCACATAAGTCTTGGCTTTCAGAATATGAAACTTTGGAAAATATTTCCAAAATCAAACGATAAATACACGTTTGAAGCTTGTAAAGGGAAGATGACAGCTCTCACTCGCCACTCTGCTGTTCCGCAGCACCGCCCCCCCTCCCTCCGGCTGACATTATGAATGTAAGAGTATAGTAATCATAGATAACACGATAAACAAAGTCTTGGCTTTCAGAATATTAAACTTGTTTCGGCAAATTCAGATGATAAATACAACTTTGAAGCTTGTGACGGCATGATTACAAGCGGAGAACGGAGTAACTTGACGTCACAGCAGGCATAACAACAGCCGGTGTTTCTCCTGAGTGTTTTCCCCGGGAAACAAACACTAACACAAAAATACACACGTATACACACACGGGCTTCAACCAGACCAGTAATCCAAACCAAAATATCTTCCCTCCGTACTATTTTGATCATTTGCTAATAATCAATCAGATCGATGGATTCCAGAGAAGAGGAAACTTTGAAGGCCTTTTTCTCAAAATGATGACTCGGTGATAGTCATTATATAATGTGACATATTTCGCTAAATATTTGGAGTACAACAACAATCCTGATATCATTAGAAAGCTAGGAGTCTCCTCTTTCCAACAGTGTATACAACTCAAAATGTGTCTTCGGGTCAATGCGACTGATTTCGATAGAGCAGGTCACATATGCAGTGGCCTAGTTCGTTAAGTTTGAGTCAGCAAAAGCAGATCATTTTACTAACCATATACTTCCACTGTATTTTTGTAAAACATTGAAACGACTTAAAAGCAAAAGGTATCTTACAATTAAAATCTTCCCTTCTTTGTGGTTTCTTATAATAATTGTTAAACATGTCAGCTGTTGTTCTGTAGATGTGAAAGCTATAATCATCAGTGTGCTGTACCTGAGCTCCTGCTGCGCGGCGGTGGAGTCCAGCGTGTCCTCCAGCTCCGTCTTCAGCGCCTCCAGCTCCTCCCCCAGGTCTCGGCGGTGTTTCTCTGCCTTGGTGCGAGCCTGCCTCTCCAGATCCAGATCCTCCTGCAGCTCCGACAGCTGAGCCTCCATCTCTCGGATCTTCTTCTGGGCCAGGTTCTTCTGAGCCGCCTCCTCCTCGATCCTGAGGGAGGAAGAGGAGGGCAGAGAACAATGAGTGAAAGGAGCAAATATCTGTTTTTTACAACAATATGTTGTTTTTTTATTACTGCCGTTTTTTTATATTCCATATTTTATTCCATTTCAATCCGCAAGCTACCCTGCAGTATACTACTTTTACTTAAGTACTTGATGCGAGTACTTCTCCCACCTTACACGTAATTGGGGCAACTGAACTCCGAGTTAACGAAGTTGAAAACGGTGCATTTCTCCGTATGAATATGATGCCTTTTGGCCAGCTGGTGGACAGATTGCTCGTGTTTCCGCGAAAATACTTATGGCAAACGAGCATTGACCACATCGAGCTTTGTAAATTGTCAATGGGCTTGTCAACTTTCTTTTAACTGCCGGTTGTGTTAAAAATGTTTGCGCAATAGCGCTGCCACCTTAGAGGGCGCGCCCCCCAGGTTGGGAACCACTGCTCTAAATGATATATAAACAAATGACCTACTTAATTACACATCCGAGAAGGGGTGGGATGAAGTTTACACCAATTTAATCCCACCACTAAATTATTAACATATATATTTTTCTCTTCTTAAAGAAATACATTTGTTATTGAAAAACAAACAAACACATTAAATGTACAATGTCTATTTTTTGTTTTATTACTGCGGCTTTTTATTCCATATTTTATTCCATTTCTATGTAAATTCTGTTATATTTGGAATATTTTTCTAGTTCTGTGTTTTTAATTTTTGTTTTTACGTATGCAGCACGACACCAAGTCACATTCCTCGTGTCAACCTACCTGGTAATAAACCCGTTTGACTCATTTCAATAACATGCAATACTGATATGAACAATGTTTACTAGTGATGGGAATTACGGCTCTTTGAAGGGAGCCGGATCTTATGGCTCCGTTCCTTTCTAAGAGCCGTTCAAAAGAGATGTTTTTTTAAAGGGGGCGGAGTTACTAGGTTTATCTGCGAAATAATCACCAGGATAATGATAGACTGTATTGCCAGACCTAATGTCAATAATCTGCATTGTAAACATGACACAAGGTGGCGCCATATCCATGTCATTCATGTCAGTGAATGTACTTTGAATTTACCCTCTGTATGTGTTCAGTAAGTAAAGTTGCCTTGAATGAAATTCACGCAACTCTTAATATTAGATACTGTGTTTTTAAGTGGAGATGGAGATTATTTGTTGACCCTGCTTTAAAGGATATGTTGCCTTTACAAATGGTGCGCTTTATCACTGCCTGGGTTTTGCTTGAAGTGCATCCAAATGCTGCTGCGTTTTCGGCTCATTTTCCATCCGAAAAACACGTCGTCTACCTGTACCACTTGTTATGACTTCTCTCTCTCGCGTATTCCGTTAAGACCCACCCCATCTCACTCCTCGTGCTGAAACCTACCACTCAGAGTAGGGGCGGGTCTTCACAGAATACGTTTGGGGAACAAAATCAAGCTTTTTAAAAGGCGAGTGGATTTTGGCAGGCAGTGAGTGCGGACCAACGATTGAACGATAACAAGAACGACTCTGTTCCCCTCGTTCGTACCAAAGAGCCGTTCAAAAGAATCGGCTCGTTCGCGAACGTAACATCACTACCCGTTTCTGATTAATTTAATTACAATAACATGCAATACTGATTTGAACAATGTTTACTGATTGTAACAAGAATCTTTATGCAACCATCTGCAATAGCAATTTTACTCTTATAGAACACTTAATTACAATGTTACATTTATTTTATAAATACTTACTTATCTACCTTAATGTGTACTTCTAATGTCTACTTGTTTATTTTTTTCGTCTCTATGTTACTTTGCTGTAACAATGAACATTTGGGACGAATAAAGGAATTCTGATTTCTGGTGATACTGCTAATAAAAAACAACTATGAATATAAAGTCAAAATACATTCAATCAAAGTTTAAAATGAATGAATATTGAATATCAAGTCTCCCACAGACCTGGCCAGAGCCGCCTGGAGCTCCTCCTCCTTCTTGGCCAGCTGAGCGCGCAGCTCGGCGATCTGAGCCTGCAGCTCGGAGATCTGGTCGTGGACCTCGTTGAAGTCGCCGTCCAGCTTGCGTCGGTTCTTCTCCAGCTCCTGGCGCGATTTCTCCTCCCTGCGCAGGCGGTCTGACAGATACAAAAAAAGAACGAAAATGAAAGGTTATAAAAGGAGGGGAAAGATAATGCAGGAAGTCTGAAACTGTATTGACACTTTTGGAGTGAAGTGGTGCAGGAATTAGAACCAAGCCCCCAGGAAGTGCGCCGGACTCTGAGGAAAATATTGGTTGTGGCCAAACGTCGGTACTACACTTCCCTATCAGTCGCTGGGCCCGGAAAGACTTTTTCCCCATTGACTAACATTGGGAAAGAGACGTCTGTAAATCGTTGGATAATTTATTTTAAACTAAATAAACTACCCAGTATGGACATTTGTATAGCCCTTATTAAAAACATTCGGTCCTCAAGTTGTAAAATGTGCTAATAACGTTATTCTGAGTTATTTTCCTCGGCATTATGAACGTGCATCTAACCCACGGGACCGCGCCGCCCGGCTCGTTCATGTGACAAGTACTTCAGTGCTACGTGAGTTTTACCTTTACCCATGGACGCACAATAAGAACGGATTATATGAATACTTTCGTGACGTTTCGCTCTCTCAAAAGTTGGGCCATTTTGTCTTCATGCGCCGATGAGCAACTCTCATAGGAATGAACGAGGCCCCGCCTCCCACGCTGTATCCAGGTCTTATTATACATCCATGGTTAGAACTCATCCCATAGACTTTAACATTTGATGTAAAGCGTCTTTGAGCGTTAGGAAAAGCGCTATAAAAATCCCATGTATTATAAACGAGTTATTTTCTTCTTCATCCCTGCACCACCTTATAGGATGAGTAAGGACTTTACTTGATTTGATTTATTTCGAAGGTGTAAAACAATAATACAAATTAATTAATAATGAAACATGAGAATTATTATACTATACAAACTTAATCAGTGTTAAATTGATAACCAAAAATACTACCGACTCTAAATCAGTGGTCAGGCCCCCCTTGGGTAAGTGGAAATATTTCAGCCCCCCCCCCCCCTAACCCGGTTCCCACGAGAATGGTAGAATTAAGTGTATAGTTGTACAAACATTACATTTTCTCTGCTAGTAATAAGACATAAAGAACCCACTCTAATTTTATATTCTATTATGGATTGAACATGAACCAAAGTGCTTCTATTGGCAGATGATCCTGTGCCCCTGTGAAATAATAACAAGTCCTGCTTATCCGGTCTTTAACAGTATTTTTATAGGTTCTTTTTAAGGGAAACAGAATTAACATTTATTTTGTATATTTGATGTATAGTGTGGATTATGGGCTGCTAGCACAGATACCTGCAGTAGCGGTAGTAACCAAATTTACTCGAGTACTGTATTTATATTGAGGTACTCCTGCTCCACTACAGTTCAGAGGTAAATGGTGTACTTTTAGATTGTCACTTTTGAACGCTCTGTTCTCCACCGGCAGATCTCTGTGCACGGTGCTGCAGCGCGAGTCTGTGAGCGAGTTGCCCCGCACACAGATGAGAACACGAGAGAGAGAGAGAACATGAGAGAGAGAGAGACGAGAGAGAGAGAAGAAGAGAGAGAGGAGAG